CGTGGCGTCGCGTGCGTCGCGTGCGTCGCGTGCGTCGCGTGCGTCGCGTGCGTCGCGAGCGTCGCGTGCGTCGCGTGCGTCGCGTGCGTCGCGTGCGTCGCGTGCGTCGCGTGCGTGGGTGCGTGGGTGCGTGGGTGCGTGGGTGCGTGATGTGGGTGCGTGGGTGGGTGGGTGGGTGGGTGGGTGGGTGCGTGCGTGCGTGCGTGCGTGCGTGGGTGGGTGGGTGGGTGGGTGTGTGTGTGTGGGGGCTATGCCGATGCGCAATGAGAATTCAAGGGTCTCCTAACTATTGATTGGCATTGACATTGTAGTGCTGGAACACGAGTGAAAGCCATCAAGGTGTAAGTTAACTTACAGCTTGCGGCTTGGTGCGCAAGGAGCCAGACTTAGAGATGATTGAAGAGACGGTCCAGGCACGCGGGACAGGTGCCAAAACACTGCAACGGCCACGGGGCTGCCTTTTGAGTATTTGCAAGTCGCCTGACCTGGCACTAAGCTGCACGGAGGATACGTGGCACAAGTATTGCAAGCATTGGGAAGGAGATGCTAGCGCGTCAAACTCCTGCTGTGCGTCTGGAATCCTGGAAGAATAACCGAGAAGGTTTAGCTTGAGATCATGTTTGTACCGAATTAGGTTGCAGTGGCTAATCATGGAATTCTGTACCGAGTGGTGCAATGGAGGTGGTTGATCTTCATGATGAAGGGTACGGCAGAAGTCCTCCATTCCGGGGCTGGTTTGTTGCTGCAGTGACGCTGAAGAACATGCTAGGCTGCCTGGCGTGCGCGGGATGCTGCGCAAAGGCCTCAGTTCCTTGTGCATTATCCGGGGTTTACTGGAAGTTCTGCGCAGCACTTGCTGCGTGCCCTTGCGAAGGCCATGGTTTCTTTCAGAGTGTCCAACGCAACTGGCAGCAACTCAAGGCATGCGGTCTACGAGGAGGACAAGTCAGAGCGGTCAAGAGCCTTGCTGGCGCCAATTGCCTACCTCTTGGCCCGGGTGCCCAGTCAGACATTGCCGCTGAGTCGTCAGTCCAAGAAGCTGTGGAGTTTGCGTGAATGTGTATGTTACGAATCGCCTCCAACCACAGTCCAGCAAAAGTGAGTTCGAGCCTTGATCCGCCCAGGCGCAGACATTCCTGGCCATCAAAGATGCTGATGAGGAGCGGCGGGGGGGGAAGGGGGCCGATGAGCCGTGCAGAACGTTGGATATGTACGTGAGAATGGCCCATGGAAATGATAATGCCCAGTCTCACTGCACGACCTGTCCATCTTCAACAGGTCGCAGAGACACTGTTTTAAAGATAAGTTGGTTGTCCTAGGAAGGCGCAGCCACATGGGCGCAAGTGTAATTGGCACTCGCTCTACTAAGACATGTTCGCATGCACCACACCATAATAGAGGCGTCTTTGCCTCAGAATCAAGTTAATGCGAAGGCTTGCACCCGCAGGCCATGGTGCACGTAGAGGAGGGCGAGACTCTTTGCAACGAGCATCAGGACCCAAGCGCAAGCGCATGGAAATCAGCTCTGCTATGATGTGCTGCTACAGGTGCAGTTGCAGCATGGCGTTCGTTTGACATGTGATCCAGTTGGCCTCTGTCGCTTTGTAGGACGAGACCGGCCAAATCATTGGCTTCATTCTTCGATCCTATGCCTCAGTCTTAGAGGCATGTGGCAAGCATGCAGCAAGGCAAGCATGCAGCAAGGCAACGTGAAGAACCGCCAACTTTGGCATGTTCTTATCTTGATATGTTAGCATGCATTTGATATCATCCCTCGACTTCGCGGGCCAATTACAGAAACAATTCGCTGCAGAGCGCAAATTTGCGTTAGATGCACATAACACATGGCCATTGTGTTAGTTCTCGAGCTGCATCAACTTGATTGCTGCTGGTTAGGTCGCAATTCTCAGACATGACATGCTCAAAGCAAAGCAGGAGGCGGACGCAATTGGGATGCAGCTACTCCATGTGCAGCGTTCTCCGATCTGAAACAGGCCGAGAAGGCAAACCAGAAGTCCAAGGACATTGGCCGGAAGCTCAGCGGGAGCCAGCAAGACCATGCTGGTAGAGCGCATTCACCTGAGCCGGTATCACGTCAGTAGTGGTGGCCAATGCGAGGCATTTGGACAATAATACGTAGTTTTGTGAAGCAACACGCCGACATGCTACTGTGGATGGACAAAATCCTGCACCACTTGGACACTAAAAAAAAAAACATTGTTTCTTGGCATTTACAGGGCAATCATCCTTCCAGGGTCTCTGAGGTGGTGCGAAATGGATTTCGCAACCATCCACAGTATGTCCAGTTTCGCTTGAAGCTGCAGCCCATGTTTATTTGTTGACTTGAAGCGCTTCGAGCTGCAGGTTACGAGTTTGGAGTCTCCTTATGCGAGGGTATTTTTGATCTGGTCGAAAGTTCGCTCGGCTCTCAGTCTGCCTATGTCAGCCTCATTTCCCACAGCTGCCCTGTTTGACCCAATAAGAATCCCTCCAGGCTTGCGGCATAGCAGTTGTCCCTAGGAAAGATGCGGAAGGTGGCATTCCGTCAGCACCGCCATCTTCGTACCTCATGCCTCAGATGCCGGCCGGGCATCTCAATGCGCAAGCACACCCAGTGCCTTTGGCAAGCTACAAGTGCAGGATATGCCCGCGGGCATGCCCAACATGCCGCGGCCTCGCGGGCCAATGCCCCGACCAGGGCCAGGACAGCCAGGACGGAAGTCCCGCGACGTGGCAGGTGTCATCGGAAGACGACTTGCCAGGCATGGCGATGGCACCTGGCGGCGAGGCAAGCGCGGCGCCAGCAGCGGCAAAGCCAAAGATTGCCTGGGGCTCAGCAAAAGGGCGAAGATGTGCGTTCTTCATGTGTACGCAACTCTTGTTCAACTTGTTCAACTTGTTCTCTTGCCTTGGCCTCTGGTTCTGCAACAACCCCTTCAGCAGGTAGAACATAGCTTGCACAGCGCATCGAACGCGAATGATCACCAGGGCTGGCTTCCTGTGATCAATGCGCCGTTTGCATGGACAGGAGCCGGAGATGGTCAAGGTGCAAATCCAAGATGTCGCGCTGGGGCCTCGAACTCGACATGCTGCCATGCTGCCAGGCCGTAGGCCACTGTCAGATCCATAAGCACATGGGTATGGGTCAAAATGAATCGACCAAGAATTGGACCGCAGGTTTTCGTCCTTTCCATCTGCCAGGGCAAGCCATTTTGGGGGATTGGTACCCGATGTTTGGCCCACTTCCACCAGTGAGGAGCAGCTTGGTGGGCAGCGATGACATTTCGGCCGACACCCCTTTGATGGATGCAGGCGGGGACTGGAAGGGCGCAATGGCGACAGGAAGTGGATGAATTGATGCGTCGAGATAGTCGAATGGATTGGCACCACGCAAATGGGTATGAGCGAAAATTAACCACCAGGGGAACACAGGTAGTCCATGATTCCATGTACCAGGGCAAGCCATTTTGGGGTTGCCACATTTTTGACAGCCACATGCTGAAATGGGATTGCTTACGCAACATCCGTGCGAAGGTCTTGACAGCTTGTCCATGGTCGAGTTCCGAAACGAGCTGTTGAAGGTGCGGAGCCTTGCGGGCTTGCGGCCGGAGGGGTTTCCCCCTTGAGACCCGCACATTGGGATCGAATGGGTCACGTGTGCCACTCAGAACCGAAGTAAAAGCTACGGATCACGCGATGGGTGGCGAAGGCCGTTTGAAACAGGAGGCTTCAAGGAGGTAACCAGTAAAAAAGCGCCGCACCCATGCCTACCATATTGGGATGCGCCTTCGGTCGCGAAAGGCCACCCCTCTCTCCCCTTGAGCCAGGAATTCCCTGGAATCAGTCTGCCGGGAGCATTGCTATTTGACTACCCTACAGCTGCGCACCCGGACTTCCAGCTATCACAGCCGCTGCTTTCTCAACACAACAGGTTTGAGTTTTGAGTTTGGCTCATGACTTCGCTTGCGGTATGACTTCATCATTTCCTTGAGCCTACGATGTGAAGGTTATGTCGCCGGCGAGAGCCACGACGTGCGGTCACTGCCCAGGTCAATGCCCTGCGGGACTATATTTACGAGACCCTCATGAATAGCTGATGCGCCGGAACTGGCCACGACCCCGAGCCTGTTGGCAAGTTCCAGTGTAGTTCTGCCAGAAAGGCTGCCTGGCATTTTCGGTTTTGGAACTTGCACATTATGACATGTCAATGTGGGTAGAAAATAGGGGAACCCCATGGTGAATGGAGACAAAGACTGTTTCCGGTCCAAATTCCTGGTTTAGTTTTAACCCACAGCCACATGCCATATTTGCTTGCGGCCAAGGACTGTGTGAGGCCAGGCTGCTGTCATTGCGCAGGCGCTCGGCTGCTCAAGGTTGATGCCAGATAGCAGTTGTGCGGAAGCGTGTCGGCGCCAGCATGGTCAGCTGATTGCCATGATATATCCTGCACTTGGGAAATGCTGGAATGATGATCCCCCTGCAACAACCCACAAACAATGAGTTCAAAGATCGGTTCAAAGTGGTGCGAACGGATTTCGTCTATCCGTGGTGCTCCTAGAGCTGTGACTTGCTGCACTCGGCTCAGAGTCCATAAAGCCATGTCCTGAGAGTGTGCCTGGAGGGGGAGGCACTTCCCGCAGGTGCGCGCCTGTCAGAGGTGTTGAGTTCTAATTGCTGAAACTCGCTGTGGGTGACAGGAAAAACCGCCACAGCAACTAGGAAGTCAGGTTCAGTCCCTCAGAGCCTTGGGCAGTTGGTACTTGATCCTCGTCTAGACGGGCCGAACACCCCCCTTTACGAGCAGCTTCAAACGTTCCGCATTTTTTCAGAAAATTACACTCGTCGTCTGGCACCTTGCACTGCAGCGATGTGAATGAATTTAGTATTTGCGTCCGGTACTGAATGCATTTCTCCTTTTTTGGGCATCAAACATCGTGTGGGGGGTTGATTAAAAGGTCCTTTACATGGGATGACCATTGGGGAAAACCACGAAAAAGATGATATTTCAGACTAAACAGAAAAGTTACCCATGGTCATTTGGGGGTCAGGAATGTTAAGCAATCCCCTTGTGGAAAACTTGCGTACAGCGCGCGGCAAGAACAAGTTTCACGGGGTTGCCCTGTTAGCCTCTGAATAGGTCGATTTTAGATGCAGTGCTGTAGCTTCTGGCCGGGGAGCAACGCCGTCACGCCTAAGTATTGCGTGTGTGTGTGTGTGCGCACGAGAAGTGTCGAAGAGATCTCAGCACTGGTGAAACCCGCACAGGTTTACAGCCATGAATCCTATGATGCAAGGCATCTCAGCTGAAAGGAGGCTTTGTTTGTCTCCCACTGCTTGCTTGACCTTGCCCTTTCGCTTTATGCCGTGTCAAGTTGAACATTTGGCAGCGCTTGCTCCTGGCAGCATTGCATTTCTGAGGTGGCATGGGCTGCATGCCCCGTCCAATGGGCTGTGGCGGCTGCAGCGGCTGTGGTGGATGCGGCGGCTGTGGCGGCTGTGGTGGCTGCGGTGGCTGCGGTGGCTGTGGGGGCTGTGCTGGATGCAACCCCATGCGCTTCGATGGCAATTGCTGGCATGTGTTTGGTAGGCAACCAAACGGGTCAGAAGGCTTTATGACAGGACAACTTTACAATTGTATGTGAGTCAGCTGCTTGGGCCGGCTGAAATTAAGGATGATGCAGCAGCAGATGATGATGCAGCAGCCTCTTGGCGACGCAAGCGAGGGATAGCGAGGAAGGGCCTGTGGGCCGTTCGGAGCTTCAGTTTGGAGGCCACCAGCTCATTGGAATCCACGGGCTCTTTCGTGGCATGCACCCAGGCAGCAGCAGATGATGCAGATGATGGGTGGCGGGGGCAGCGGTGGGATGGACATGCAGCTTGTTTGCAGTGAGAATGAGAAGCATACACGACAGACTCGCAAGGATCATGTGTTGAGTGCTTGCCTCCGCAGGAAGAAGATGCAGGAGATGATGAACCAAATGATGGGCATGGGTGGATCAAAGAAGAGCAAGGGCGAGAAAACGGCCGCTTGATGCAATGACACCGCATTCGGGAGCTCAAGATTCAACAGGCACATATCATAAACGGTACTCAAAAGATACGACGCTTTTGGCCATCCAATGTAACTCGCTGAGGAGAAGAAAAAGAAGCCCAAGGACAATGCCACAGTGATTTTCGTGGGCGGTCTCCGGAAGACCACGGAAGAAGACAGAGACGCCTGCTTGAAAGCCGTTTGGTTCTTTTGGGGGGAGGAACAGCTGCAATCAGCCAGCCACCTGACCTGCCGCCTCGAACCGTCTTGGCATTGCAAGCACTACCTGCCTGATGCAGTCCAGACCACGCTCAGGTGACAGCTCATTTTGCCAAGTTCGGTCAGGCGGGCAAAGTTGAGTCCGTATGCAACGCCCGCTTTTCTTGATTTTTGCAGCTGCCATGGCTGCAAATACACTTGGACAGTGAACGAGCCGATGTGGACCCACCTGAGAGGTGGAGCACGTTGACATCAAGCGATTGCCTGACGGTACCTCTCGTGGCTTTGCTTTTGTGAAGTTCTCTGACACAGACGCAACTTGGCTTGGTGCAAGCCCGATGCGATTGCGTGTGAAAGCCTGGTGTGATTCTGAGCCCGCCTCAGAGTTCAAGCAAGGCCGTAGAGAAAGTCATTGACGCGCATGCCAAGCACATGATCGACAACAAGTGGGTTGAGGCCTGATGCTCAGAATCTTTGCAAGTTCAGAGGGGTCAAACCCAGTTCGCGACTGCGAGGTAAGAGTCGCTGCCCCTGTGCAGTCGTTTAATTGGTCCATGAAGCATTTTTAGCTTGCCTGGTGTATGTTGCCAAGCCAGTCAGCTATCTTTGTGGTCACTAACCTAGAAGATTGTACGAAGGCGTTACATCGTTTGTGGTTGCAAGTGGACGAACCGTGCCAATAGGGCAAGTAGCGCTCGCAGGTGAAACGCCACGATGGTGTGGCAGCTTCTGCAGGCCTCACATCCTCCATGCAGAAGCCAGAAGAGCCAGAGCAACTTGGAAGATGCGCTTGAGGGTTAAGAAGGCAGCGCTTGTTTGTGAATATGTCATTCATATTTCTGCACCAGCTCTGCAAACCTTGAACCATTTCAAGCTTAGAATTGGCTTGAGTACAGGTCAAGCCAGGATCGCAAGTACTTTGGGACTGGTCAAGGCTTAGGTTGCTTACAGTTCGGCAATTCATACTAGCAGATTCTGCGCGTTTGGACGAGTCAACTTACCAAAGAGGCAAGTGGGTCGTTTGCTTACGACGGTTGCACGTCGGTCGCAGGGGACTCTGAGTACATGGCCCGGCCTGCCTGTTTGCTGCAACTGGGAGCCCTTGCACGGCCCAGGGAAGAAGCGGAGCCTGCTGGCGAGGAATGGTCCGAGAAGTGGTCTGAGCAACTTGGAGCCAAAGGCGGCAACAGGATGGCTCGGGCGCCGGCTTGAAGCTTCCTGAGGTCGGCTTGAAGCTTGAAAGATGTTTGCTAAGGCAATACTTGGCCATGGCCTCAAAGCTGGGCGAGATGCAGAAGGCGTTTCGGGATCCGTTCAACATGAGGGGTTGTGGAATTGTGATGGGCAGACATGGGTGGTTTGTCGTGTTGGCAAGAGGGAGCTGCCAGGATGGTGGCGGTGGAGAAGGCGGTGGAAGCAGCAAGAGCAAAAGCAACTCGGCAGTATTTCTGGGATTTCTCCATAGCTTAAACAGCGGGGGGGGGATGCAGGGACGCTGAGAATCTGGCCTGCAACATGGAGTTGTTTGCCACAGGTTGGTTTGCGGATGTTGCTCATGTTGGTGGTTCGGGATTGTTTTGTTTTCTTGGTGACCCCCTTGATCGCCAACACATTGAGCGATCACAGTTGCTGACTTTGGCGGCGCTGCATTTCGAGAAGAAACAAAAAGTTTGCAGCTCGCAGATTGCCTGAGGCAGTGCTGTGGAGAAGCTCATGAAGCAGATGGGCATGGATCCAGCAACTTGGATACTGGAGTTGCTCCGTTCAGTTGATGCGATCCACGACCGTTTCCTTAACTTGGGTCGGCACATTCATAAAAGGGGGCTGAAGGCGAAGAGGGAATTGCACAAGATGCATGCTGCTGACTGCTCAGCAGCGGTTGCCAAGCATGTGTCGCTCAAGGCTGTGATGAAGCAAATGGGCATGGATCCGAAGCAGATGGAGGGCATGTTCAAACAAATGGGGATTGATCCGTCTTCGATGATGTCGATGATGGGCCTCCAAGCCGCAAAAGGAGTTCCAGCAAAGGATTGCTTTGAGAGCCCACCAAATTTGACATGTGCGGATCAAGCATTGCCTGCTACACCTGACCGCTTCTGAAGAGCGCATGCTTGCTAAGGAAACATGAATCCAATGATGGGTATGATGGGCATGATGAACCCGATGATGATGGGAGGGATGGGGGGCTGTGGCATGGGGGGTATGGGCGGCAACTGCGGAATGGGAGGCTGTGGCGGTGGAACAGCACCGGCAGGAAGCACTTCAGGAGGCAATTGTGGTTCAGGTGCCTGCGGCATGGGAGGAAACTGCGGCGGAGGCAACTGCGGCATGGGAGGCAACTGTGGAATGGGCGGCAATTGCGGCGGCGGAGGCGCGGTTGTGACACCAAACTTCTTGCTTTCTTTTACCACGGGAAGGGGCCCCCTGGCAGGCATGGGCTGCAGCGGTCCCGGCGGCAATGCCGGTGGCATGTCGCTTGGCATCGTCGCTGCGTTCAAGGCTCGCCACGTTTGCGCCACGCGTGCTGCGCATCCGAGGCAGGAAGGCCGCGAGCGCTCCAAGAGCCGCAGCCCCGTCAGAGCGGCGCTGCCAGGCCCCGGCTGCATGGGGCCCGGCCCCGGTCCCAGCCCGGGCCCGGGCCCAGGCGGCCCAGGCGGCCCAGGCCCTGGCGGCCCTTGCTTGGGCGGCTTCCAGGGTCGGCCCGCAGGTTTCCCACCGCCCCCTCCCCCAAGGCTGCCAGCCACTTGACAGAAAGCTGAACTTCAAGCCTCAAATATGAAGATCGCAATCACAAAGTCTCAGTTTGACTTTCCTGGTTGTGATTTGCACTGTGCGCATGCTGAGGAAGACCCTGCACAGCGCGCTGCACGTGCTGCCGCTGCAGGTGCCGAGGCAGCAGCATTCGCTCAGCAAGCGTCAAGGAGCGCACTCAAGATGCTGCAAGAGGGAAGACTGCTGGGACTTGGGCAGGCTTTGAACAGAGAGCATTCAGGGCAAACGACTCACACCGGCCAGGATTGCCGAAACATCCCGCGATGCAGCACGAGACGCTGCCACGGCCAAGTCCGCCATGCCAATGTGGCAGCTTGGACTTCGGATATTCGAGCACGTTGCATGAGTGGCCTTCGCCCATATTGCTTTTGCGAAAATGCGAAGGTCGGAGGCACCTCCGCCACCGCCACCGGGCAATGCTGCCAACATGAGTGCCCGGCCGAAGATGGATCGATCTTTTTGGGAAGTTGATGCATGGAGGGCTGGGAAAAGTAAAGACCTGGATTTGATTTTGCCTGCAGGCAAGTTGGAGCACGTTGATATCAGGCAATGCCCGAAGTGTTCGAAACTTTGCAGAATGCGGCAAAGCCACCTCGGAGCCGAGGACAACCGGTAAAGCTGTGGCTGCCAGAGCCAACTCCGCAGCAACTTGATTGCAAAAGTTGCATCCTGCAGGATACAGCAGCCATGCAGCCAGTGAGCGGGATTGGACTCGCGTGCACAGTCGTTGGTTTGTAGGGTTCAATTATCTATGTGTGGCCTACACCACTCAAGGTTTCAGTCGTCACATCCGCCACCACCGCCGCCATCAATGCAATCCACTTCGCAGGCTCGGCTTAATTCACCTTTGGGCACAGCAATTGGCTGCATTGTTTGCTTCGAGCGTTTTCCTCGAAGCATTGTTATGCCATGCCATCATCCTCTGACACTTGCCCGGGGCCCAATTCATAAGAGGCAGCCGAAAAAGAAACCCAAAAGAGTGTTGACCAGTTGTATCTCTCAGCCGTGCCTACGCCAATTTTTTGCTGCTTACAATTGGTGGCTGGTTTCGCTTTCAAGCCATCCCATCGTGTACGGGCGAGCCTTTGGTGGTGCGTGCGCGCTGGCGTGCGTGGTTCGAGCGTGCAGGCTCGCAGGCGTGCAGGCTCGCAGGCGTGCGGGCGTGCATGCGCAGGGGTGCGTGGCCGCAGGGGCGCGCATGCGGGGGCGGGCGGGGGCGGCGTGGTGCTGCGCTGTCGTGCCGTGCCGTGACTCGCGTGTCTCAAGAGACGATAATCCGAGACAAAACAGACATGGCAACAGGATCAAGCCAGAGTTTGTCCAACGGCTGCGCTGATACAACTCCCCGCGGTATTTTTTCCCGGTGTTTTTTTGCAGTTTTTCGCTTAGCTGGAATGGGGTTGTAGTTCCTGCGGGCGAGCAGTCTGCGTGCGAGTGTGCAAGTGTGCGAGTGTGCGGGTGGAACGGGCGAGCGAGTGGACGAGTGACTCGAACACTCGCGCAGACATGTGTTTGACCTCATTTTTGGCTCACGAATACCACTTTCACTTGCATGTAAAATAGTACAGCCTAAAGACTTACCAGATTTCTGCACGACTGCAAAGTGTGCAAGTAGGGCACGCAAGTGTTCCGCTCGCACACTCACACTGTCCACTCGCACACTCGCACGAACACTCATACACTATTGGGCAAGTGTACCTTTGAAGCCTGTTTACAACCTCTTGGCGCCAGCCTTTTTCGGGCAAGAACGGCAGTTGGAATTCGGCGGGAACTCGGCGGGAAGCAGTGTTCAACATGTCGGGGTTGTCGCGTTTCAACAATTTTCTCGCGGACAGCGTTTTGATTGTCTGCTTCCGGGGCCTTGCGGCAGGAAGTTCTGCCGCCGCTGGAGAGCCCAGGGATGTGTGTATATATATATATATATATTGCGGGCGCTGCGTACCTTTGTTTGCTTTGGCACCCCCACTTCTTTGGGTGAGCTCTGGGAAAGTATGCTTCTTCACTGGCGTTTGTTCACGGCGAGGGCCGGCAACACCTCCGCTACGTATAAGGTTTGCCTTCACTGAGGACAAAGTGCCAGATAAACTGGCCCAAGAACATAAACGCCAAGCCCTTGGGTTCATTGGAGTCTCTTGTGGAAGATGGTGCCCTTCAAGATGTTCTTGTTCACATGAACACAGACGTTGATGAAGAAGAGCAGGTATTTCATTAAGTGAACCTGTTTTTGGTTCTGACAACACTGAATTTCCGCCTGACAAATTGATCCTGGCCATGCAGAACGAAATGGACAGAAATCACGCAACGTGAGGAAGCTGTCCTTGAAAGAGAGTGTCCAGAACGCACTTGATGTCAAATGGGTCAAGACCTGCATGAGAGCGAAGCGAGTGGTTTTTGAGGGAGGCACAGACAAGGACGCACTGTGTCGCCCGCTTTCCTTCATGCTGAGGATTGAGATTTACCCCAAAGCGACCTAGTCTTCAGAAAACTCAAACGTGCACAAGGACGGTGCACTGCACGTGCTGGCTTACGTGGATGCTTGGTTGGGGAAATCTCCATTTGGTTCGTGGCTGGGAGTCTCCACGCGCACGCCTAAACTCCCAACTGTGGCCAAACACTGAAAAAGACTGCGTCGAGCAGCGCGCAACACGCGAATAACCGGCGAACAACAATCGTTGGAGCGACATGATGAATTCCGAGCTCGACCGAGTTGACTCGAAGTGATCGATTCGCACCCCGGACATTCGGCGGAAAAAAACAGTCACTTTTGTGCCACCCTCCCACCCCGTTTTACAACGTGGCTACAGCCTCCTTCGAGACTTTCCTCCCAAAGGGGGAGATTGTCCACTCAAAAATCTTGGAAGGAGATTGGCACTCCCCATTCGGTTCGTGACCAAATGAGCCTTGGAGAAGAAGAGGAAGACTGGAAGCCTCTACACGCAGGCTTTCCCAGCGCGCACTGCCCAGGGTCGGGTATGAGATTTGCTGAAATGTCTGATTGCTCGTGTGTGTGTGTGTGTGCGCGTGTAGGTGTTTCTGTTGTTGTGTTTGTGTGTGTGTGTGTGCAGTTGGAAATGCGTATGCGTGCATGTGCGTGCGCGTGCGCACGGTGCGCATGCGCACGATGCGCGTGCGCACGGTGCGCGTTCGCACGGTGCGCGTGCGCACGGTGCTCGTGCGTGCGAGTGTGCGCGCGCGTGCCCCTGCGTGTGCGCGTGCGCGTGCGCGTGCTATTGCGTGTGCGTGTGGATGTGGGGGGTGTGGGTGTGAGTGTGGGTGTGTGTGTGTGTTTGTGGGTGTGTGGGTGTGTGTGTGTGGTGCGTGTGTGTGGGGTGTGTGTGGTGCGTGTGTGTGGGGTGTGTGTGTGTGTGGTGTGTCTGTGTGTGGGGTGTGTGTGTGTGTGGTGTGTGTGTGTGTGGTGTGTGTGGTGTGTGTGTGTGTGGTGTGTGTGGTGTGTGTGTGTGGTGTGTGTGTGTGTGGT